AAAAAAAAAAATCGAATTTATCATCCTCATCTTTTTCCCCATTAATGGGATTATGTGATACAATCTCTTGCTTTCCCTCTTCTTGTGTAACATATGGGTCTTCCATGGAACAGAAAAGAAAGTCCAGAAATAGACCCACTTATCCATAGCAATTCATTTTGAGAAAGTGCAAAGTCATTTAAATGGAGAAAGGCTAGTCTTTTCAACAAATGGTGCTGTAACAAACAGATATGTTATGCCAAAAAAAAAAAAAAGAACTCCAACCCTCTTCTCACAAAATACATAAAAGTTGACCCAAATGGATATTAGCATTAAAGATAAAAGTAAAAGCATTATGATTCTAAAGGAACATAAAAATATTTGTGACCTTGGGGTAGGCAAAGATTTCTTAGCGAAGCCAAAAAAAGTGCTTGCCAAAAAAGAAAAAAAATTTACAACTTGGACTTCATCAAAGTTAAAAAGCTTCTGCCATATGAAAGATACTGAGAATGAGATAAGAAGCTGTGGATTGGGAAAACACTTGCAAAACACATTATCTGAAAAAGAATTTTTATCCAGAATATGTAAAGATTCTTACCACTTGATAATAAAAAAAAAACAAACAATCCAATCATAAGATGAGTAAAAGATTTGAACATACCCTTCATTAAAAAGGCAGTGTTACTGGCCAGTAAGCTCTTGGGAAGCATACATACCCCACACCATTAGTTATTTGGAAAATGCAGCTTAAGACCACCAGGAGATGCTTACTAGGCACACAAGAATGGTTCAAATTTAGATGCCCAACAAACCAAGCATTAAGGGACATGGAACAAATAGAACTCTCATACCGTGTGGCAGTGTAAACATGCTACTTTGGAAGCTTGGTAGTTCCTTATAAAATGAAATATACATTTACCATATGGCCTAGCCTTGCAATTTCTAGGTGTTTATCCAAGAAGTAGAAGCTTAGAGGGTCCATCCCCCAAATTCTTGCACAAATGGATCAAATGGATATAGTCAGCTTTTTTTAAAGATTTATTTATTTATGCATACAATAACTGGGGTACAGGCCAGAGGTGTGGGGGGTGAGAGGATTCACCAGAGACAGAGCGGGGAGCAGAACAGGTGGATCGATGAAGTACACTGCTGAGGGGAGCAGTGGGCTAGACAGGTCTGCTGTGCCATGTGCTGCGCTTTAACTTATTGAGCCACCAGGGAAGGCCCAGGATATAGTCAACTTTTTAAAGTTCTATTTGATGGTGAAAAATGTTATGATCCTGGATATTTCACACACACCGCTAAGACTTTGTCCTAATTTGGTCTCTCCACTTGCAGTCTTTTCAAATCATCTTATGTATTATTAATAGAGTAATCCTTCTTGAGCTCAGGTCTAATAATATCTCCCAAAAAACCCATTAGTAATGCCCCATTGCCTGCAAAATTAAGTCTAGGTCATTTTGCCAGATATTTAAGTCATCCTTATTCTATCCCAGCTTCCTCTCCTTCTTATACTCTCTATTTCTTTAAGTATCTGTCTTACCAATTTTAGTAGTGAGGTTGACTCAAGTTTCTAGTCCAGTGGTTCTTATTCCTTTCCCCCCAGCTTTAATGAGATATAGTTGACATATACCATGATAAGGGTAGGGTGTACAATGTGATGATTTGATACATATAGTGAAATGTTTGCCACAGTAAGATTTACTAGTACCTCCTTCACTTCATGATTACCCTTTGGTGTTGTATGGAAGAACATTAAAGTTCTACTCATGTCATCAACTCCCAAGTACACAACACAGGATTGTTAAGGATGCTAGAACTTGTTTATCTTATAACCAGAAATTTGTACAAACTTTGATCATCATTTCCACATTTCCCCTGCCCCCCAAACCTGTCAACCTCCAGGCACCCTGGCAACCCCCATTTTACTCTGTGTCTAGAAGTTTAATGTTTTTATAGATTTAATTATGCATACAGAACTGGGGTACAGGCCAGAGGTGCAGGGGCAGTGAGAGGATTCACCAGAGACAGAGTGGGGAGCAGAACAGGCCGATTGACGGAGTACACTGCTGAGGGGAGCAGCGGGCGGGTCAGGAGAGGTCTGCTGTGCCATATGGGGTTACCTCCAGGGCGGGAATCAAACTCATGCTTCTCAGTGCTGTGCTTTAACCTGCTGCATCACCAGGGAGGCCCTATACTGGACTTTTCAGTTCTGTCTCCTCCTATGAAGTTGGTATGGGATGGAAAATTCTAACTTTCTAATCACGTTTGATTATACACTAATCTTGAGGTGTGACCCAGAAGTAACTTTATTATCATGACAAAAGATGCTTTTATATCCCCACAAAAAACTCCCAGAGTTTTAGGACTTCTGTGCCAAAAGTGGGAAGAGGACCAATATATATATATATATTTCTTACTATAAATTAAAGCATCACCACACTTCATTTGCAGAGATTTAATTATCTAAGGAATGGCTTGGGTTTTGGTGGTGGTTTTGTGGAGTATAGATGACCTTGAGTTGTGAACTCTTGCTTCAGGGGGTCCAGCACACAAGCTCGATAGGCCACATGCCTTCCTGCCTTGATGTCTTGACTTACACTGTCCCTTCTACCTGGAACACCTGCCCATTCTCTTTCTGTCCATACTGTCTACCAAAAAATTCAGGACGCAATTAAAGAGGCAAAGCATGTTCATTTGGGATCAAATCATAGCAAATTGGGATACATAACTTCAGGGAGAAATCCTAAAGCCTGTCCCAAGGAGGGACACAGCCTTCTTATGGGAGGAAAAGAAGAAGAGGAGATAAGTAGTTAAAGAAAAGAGATGATTAGGTTTTGGCTGGCCCTTTTGTTTCTCAGTATTTCACATGTGAGCAAAACCACTCGGGCTTTGTTTTTTCTTCTGGCCTGTTTTGCTGAGCATAATCGCTTCCAGTTTGTAGGGTAAATGACTTGACGGGGCTGTCACCTGCGGCCTTGATGTGTTGTGAATGCAGAGGCGCTTCAGAGCTGGGGCTCACACGCGTGCCTGATTGTGGGCACCTGGGGCATGGGTGTGCGTACAGGTGTGCGTGTGCACGCCTGCACCTGGAGGTCAGGGTAAAAGCAACGGCGTGACTACGAAGAAGGTGAGAGCGCAAGGCCACGTGAGGAGAATGCCAGCGAGGCCAGAGAGCGCGGAGAGGTGTGTGTGGCTTGGGAGACTCAGTTGCCTTCAGAACCTCCTAGCCCGCGCCCCGTGCCAGGGGCCTCCCTGCCTGGGGCCCCCCAGCTGCTCTACCTGCTCCCCCTACACACACAGTTCCATCCATGTTACAAATGAGGTTTTTTTTTTTTTTTTTTTCTGTAAATTCAATCAAAACACACCCTGGAAGTCTCAGTGGGGGGCAGGGGGAGGGAGAGGAAGGCCAGTGGACTGCAGTGCAGGACTATGAGCCTTGGTGCTAAGTGAAGAGGTGTGGGCCTCTACTTCTGAACAATGTACAGTGTTCTAGCTGGTGTTACCTCAGTAAGAAAAAAATCCTATTTCAAAATAGGAAAGAAAAAGTTGAGTAGTATTAACAGGGTTATACTGTTCTTAGCTATATATCATGGTTAACTGATTTTCTAGAAAGGATGACAGATTCTATCCTCTGGATAAAAGTTCACAGTGTCATTTCTCATTTGTTTGCTTGATGATTCCTTGAACAATTGTTTTCAACTCAGTGTGAAGATCCCTGGCCTGGTCAAAGGCCTTTGACCTAGTTCCAAAGAGACAGGTGATGTAAGTTCTCAGTAATGGCTCTCAACTCTATTCCCCCCCTCCCCCCAGGGTTTCCTTAGTTCTGCACACAAGGGCTGGGGTACAGGTGAGAGGTGTGGAAGAGGTGAGAGGATTCAGCAGAGACAGAGTGGGGAGCAGAACAGGCAGATTGGCGAAAGTACACTGCTGAGGGGAGCAGCGGGCGGGTCAGGAGAGGTCTGCTGTGCAGTGTGGTCACCTCCCTGGCTGGGGGGGATCGAACTTGTGCTAAGG